GCGTAGTAAGGGGTCTATGGTAGAACGACCCTTATGAAAGCCATATTGACTAGCGGAGAGACTGTTGTGTGTCTCTAAATACCACATTAAACGTCGATTTATGAGACGTTCCATCACTTTGCAAACTGCACTAGTAAGAGCGATGGGACGATAGTGGGAGGCATCATGTCCTGTAGTACCCGGTTTGCGGAAAGGGAGAACAATGGCAGATTTCCACAGCTGGGGAAGAACTCCTTGTGCCCAAATAAGATTGAAGAGGTGTAAGAGGACTACAAGGGCTGACCGATGTAAATGTTGTAACATACGAATATGAATGTCGTCAGGCCCAGCTGCCGATGATCGGCAAGCTGAGAGCGTTGCCTCTAGCTCTTGAAGTGTAAAAGGCACATTATACTGTTCTTCTCTGAGAGAAGAAAAGTCCAAGGGTACTAACTCTCTGGCAGACTTTGAGGAAAGAAACGAGGGGCATAGATGGAGCCCTCGGGAAATACGGACCAGATGTGTGCCAAGTTCAATGGCAACGTCGAGAGGGTTTGCTACATCAACACCAGCGACCCGTAGAACAGGAGCCGGGTCAGGAGAGTATTTACCACTCAATTTCCTCACTTTTTTCCAGACTGCACTCAGAAGAAGCAGAGGTGATGGTGGAAACATAGTCTTGCCAACAAGTGCATTTAGCTTCACGGATGACACAGCGAGCGATCGCACGCTTCTGCTTAAAATCAAGGTCTCTCAGCAGTTCTATTGTACCAGTACCTGCCCCATGCAGCGCGTTTCAAACGTACTGCACGAGCACAAGCAGGAGACCACCAAGGCACGCACTTCTGAGAATGCCTGCCTGAGGTTTGGGGTATAGAATGAGAAGCTGCTGTATAAACTGACGTTGAGAAGAGGTGTAGGAGCTCATCAATGGAGGATGAAGAAGGAACCTCACTAAAAGCAGCGAGGTGAGTAAAGATCCCAATTTGCCCGATCAAATTGCCAGCGAGGGCTACGGAAAGGTGGTGAATAGGAAGGAGAAGAAAGAATGATTGGAAAATGATCGCTGTCATGTAAGTCCGGTAGAACAGACCAGGTGAAGTCTAGTGCAGTGGAGGAAGAGCAGACTGATAGATCGATGCAAGAGAGAGTATGAGTACGAGGATCAAAATGGGTGGGAGTACCCGTATTTAAAACATGGAGGGGGTGAGAGGCGAGAAAAGCCTCCAACTGGAGGCCACGTGAGTCACAATGAGACCCCCCCAGAGGAAATGGTGGGCATTAAAATCACCAAGTAACAGAAGTGGTGGTGGTAAGGATGAAACAAGAAAGGCAAAGTCTGGAATAGAAAATGCTCGAGAAGGAGAGAGATATAAAGAACATATTGTAAACTACTTATTCAAGTGGATACGGGCTGCAGTGTAATGCAGCGAAGTATGGACAAATAGTTGACAGTACGGAATATCATTGCGTAGAAGAAGGGCACTTTCATTAAAGGTCCCATCTGAGAAAGGATCCGAAGAATACAATAAATTATAGCCTGAGATAGGTTGGAAAACAGCCGGGTGTAATTTTGGTTCTTGTAAGCAAGCACCAACAGGGGAAAACCTGGAAAGCAACATCTGAAGCTCACCCCGATTACCCGAGGCCGCGGATATTCCACTGTAAATAGGCCATGATTGGCGATGAAGAAAATACCAGGAATCTGTAGGTAAAGGCACCTACAGACTAGAGGGGTTAGAAAAGTCAACGTGTGGTGGCATTGGAAGACGTTCAAGCAGCGAAGGAACGGAGCGTTGCGAAGAATGGGGTTGTGAAGATGGAGGAGAGGGAAGAGAAGGAACAGGAAGTGAATCAGTATCCATTGAAGGTTTAGTCTCTGCAATATATTCTGAAATGGCTTCAAGTGTTTCTGAATTCAAAGATGTATGGGAGACCATATGGAGATAGAAGGAGGAGGGTGAGTAAAGATTGGGACAGTAATGGACTGTACCAAAGTAGAGGGGGAGGAAGAGTGTAAGGGACTGGAGATGAAGTGTGGGGGGGACAGAAGAGGCAGAAACCTGGGAGTGGCAGAAGAGGGAGAAACTTGGGAGGGGACGGGGTGGAAGCATAGTACGAGGAGGAGGGTGAATCTCCACACTTGTAATAGAGCCAGAGAGAGGGGAAGAACTAGGTACCGAGACTGGAAAGGTAAAGTGTGGAGGTGGAAGAAGGGAAGGAAGGGGCAAAGAAGATTTGAGCAATGTGGATTTTTTGGACTTCTGAGAAATAGAGGGGCGATTGGTATTAGGTGTCGTACGAGGTCTTATCGATACTGGGGCTTGTGAGGAAGGACGCGAAGATGTGAGAACAGACTGAGTTGTAGTCGGGACGTCAAAGCCAAGGACAGCAAAAGGATTAGATGCCGGAGTGGCTATGGGAGGGGTAACAACAGAGGAGGCTGCAGAAGATGGGACCCCAGAAGTGGGGGAATGTTTGGAAACACGAGAATAAGAAACACGGGGTAGTCTCCCTTGGAGGCGGAGATGAGTAACTGCCATAGCATAAGGGAGACCTGCCTCTTTGAGGCAATGGATTTCACGTTCATGTAAGTAGACCTGGCAACGGCGGGAGTACGAAGGGTGAGCTTCATTACAATTAAGGCAAGATGGAGGTTGACTGCAAGATGTATTAGAATGGTCGTCGGCACCACAGACTGGGCATTCGGCCATAGATCTGCAATATTTCGCTGGGTGACCAAAACGCCAGCAATTTCTACATTGTTGCGGTGTAGGTATCACCTTTCGAACTTGTAACCGATGTCCCATGACATATACAGAGGACGGGAGTTCTCAGCTGTCAAAAGTTAAACGAGCCACATTGCAAGGGTAACGTCTCCGCCCCCGGGCAGGAAGGACATAAGTGTCTACTTTGAGGATTGGGAGATCCTGGAGTTCCAGCTGTTCAAGAATGTCATTGTCACATGACTGGAAATTCTGTTGGACTATGATATGGGGCAGAATGACAGTACCACTACAAGAATTGTGAGAAAGATGTTTTTCAATAGTGATAGGAGTAGTATCGATATTCAAAAGGAGAGAAAGATCATGAGCTTGGGTAGCATTCTGGACAGTGACGATGCGCGTACAGCTCGAGAGCATGAAATGAAATATCTCTACCAACATGACGCAGGAGCGCTTTGCCAATACTATGGTCAGAAAGGTAGGCAGAAGAAGAAGTCAGTCTTAAAGTAAAGAATTTAGTCCATTGTGTGGTCCAAAACTGAGCGTGGAGAGGGAGTGCTTGACGTGTCGGTCTTTTCCGAGTAGAATGGGAAGGTAACGAAGGAGCATCATCAGGAGATTGACGTTGGCGTTTAGGAGTAGGACCGGAGTTGGTCCGGCGTGAAATGGGCGGGCGATTCGAAAATTGCCGTACCGTAAAGGGAGAAGCCGGAAGCATAGTCAAAGGAGAGCGGAGTTCAGACAAATCGAAGGAGTCAGTCGAAGCCCTGGTACCTGAAGCGGGTGAGGAAACAGCACCAGCAAGAGGTACAGGGGCATCAGGAGTGTCCGAAGAGTGGTCTAAACACAAGGCAGGGTCAGAATGGGGTGCGGTATCAAGAAGGGGCCCGGGGGTAGTGGGTTCATGGATTGGGTTCTCCATGGTTAGGTTACTCCTTTGCTTTTTGTTTTTAAGAAAAAAAAAGAAAGAAGAAAAGAAAATAAAAATAAAAAAAGAATAAAAAAAGGGGGGAGCGGGGAGGAATAGTTCCCAGGAGGAATGAAAGGGCCGGAAATCTCCCTCCGCGCCCAAGAGGACCTCAGCACCGCTAGTAGCGCAGATGCAGCATGGAACCCGTGCCATACCCTACCCTTCATGCCAGTAAACCAGCAATCCGGGATAGCAACCTCACATTTGCCGAGCTACCTCGGTGGACAAAAGAGAGGGCGGCCTGATATCCGCCACAAAGCATACCTCCTTCGGCCACCACCCCCGGAATCCGAAAGGTGGCTTCCAGAGATACACCCGTCGCCCGAAAGACACCCAAAGCTACTCCGGGATACCGGAGAGGGATCGGGACATCCCCAGGCGATCCGGATTCCACGGCAAACTACGCCACCGCCAAGAACTTCAACGGAATGGGATGGACCCCGGTGTCCTTTCCCCTACCTAGGAACTAGCATGCCTGTGGGAGAAATCCCAAAGGCCAAAAAGAGGAAGGGCAAAAGGGAGGGGTGGGGAGGAGGAGGAGGAATGGAAAAAGGGGAGGATGGGGAGGATGGGATAGGGGAGGGGAGAATGGGGGGGTAATTAGGTTCGGTCTGAAGAAGAAGACCGACAGGTCTAATTCCTCAGACCAAGAGCCTCTTCACCACGCCAAGTAGCCCCCCTTGAAGAGGTATTATTTGTGAGAAAGCATTAAATTTATATGGGTTTATAGCACTTGGGAAATGAGAGGTAATTATGTTTGATCCAAGGAAGTGGAGGCTATCTCCAATTCCTTGGATTAACAGCCATTCATTGGCATCAAGGCACCCCCTTTGAAGACGATGTTCCAAGACCTGTATTGGATCACACCTGTCAATGTGAGCTACGTCACACATGTCCAGATGTCCCTTCACACCGTAGACAAATAGTTCACACCTGTAACACTTTAGGCCTGAGGCACATGTTAAGGAAATAATTCATTATGTGAAAGACAACACCCATGTTGCACAGAAAAAAAAAAAAAAAAAAAGCTACAATAGGTAGTGATATGAGATATCAATATACTGTAATGGTACAGGGGATACAAATTCAGTGGTATGGATAATTATTATAACCAGGGGTAGGGGCCTGAAAGTCATAAAATCCATTTAGAACGAGACAACCAGCCTCTCACCATCATTCAGGCACCTCCCATGAGGAGAGGTGGTGGTGGTAGTAGTAGTAGGAGGTTCGCTGTGTAGTAAAATGTTTATAATAATCCACACTAACCCAGGGGCAGGGAGCCACTGACTCAAACGATGTAAAAAATGGGATATGAAAGACAGATAGTTAATAGAAACCATCTCTAATGCATATGTCAATACAAATAATTATACAATTAAACTATTTTAATCAAAATTTACAATGTAATGCCAGTTATAATAAAAGTATGAAATTAAAACCTACAAAATATCTGTACAGCACCTACAGCATACAACTTATGCCCAAGTTGATGTTATACGTCACATCTCATAGCACAAGGTGAAAAATGTGCACCACCAAACTGAAGACTAGTCAAACATCTTCAGTCTGGTATTCCATACACTACTACACAATCAGGTTAGGTTATCATAAATACACCTTCAATGTGATTGAGCCTTATCAATGTCCAACCAGAAAGTTGCACTAGTTTAAGCTGGGTCATGGTATACTATGCATAAAATTGAACGATTAAAGATTCTTTAGGCATAAAAATGATATTTCTCTATTTGCTTCAAATAATTGTTCAATGTACAGAAAACTGAAGAAATGAATGCTTTCTTCAAATTTTAGAAAAATGTTTTATATACATGGGAAGGTAAGAGCTATGAGCATAGGCTTTAGCAATGATGAACTAGCTTAAGACACTAGTGCACTTCAGCTCAACATATCACACACATCTCAATCATACCAACATAAATATTCTATTTTTCTGGAATACACTGGATAAGATGGCTACACACCACAAGTGCTCAGTTTTCAAGACTAAAGAGTTCAATGTACTGTAGATAAAATTGAGTTATTACCTATCAAGTTCTAAAGAGTTAAAAGGAAACTACATCACCTGTCTGTCTGACACCAGTCAGTGATAACCAATCTGACATTACACTCTTCAGAATCTTATGCAGCAGGCTGGCAGGTAGGTGCAGTGTTACTTTTACAGATAAAGAATATTGATATGGTTCATGCTGATGTGTACATGCTGCACATTACATGTCATATGGGCTATAAATAGCCAGTTTTCTTCTATTGGCTATATACATCAGTAGTCCAGAAAAATCTACATCTTAGCAATTCCCTGACTGCATGAGTACCAGACCAATGTTTGACTGTATCAAAATAACTGTCATTTAAATATTTTTGTTGCCCCCCCATGTACGGTGACAGTATTAATTTTCTTGTACAGAATATTTGGTTCTTTTTACTTGAATGTACAATATTCTGTAACTATATTTTTATGAAGCAAAGAGAGATTGCCTGTATTCCCATCTCTTATCCAAAACATACAGGCTTTCAGTCACACTGCTACCGAATATTCAACGATGAAAAGCTCATGGATGCTCGACAAAATGCAACACATCTTGGTGAAATTTTGTATGTCACCCATAGAAAAAAAATTGATAGTTAACATATGTTTATACTGTACAGTAGGTGCTCTCTCAACCATCAAGCAGTTAACTGGATAAAATTAAGAAATGACGCAACAAACCACCCACACCTAACTATTCAAAAATAACATGAAACTCGTGTTAAACCTACCACCACCTTATGAGTTGCATTCATGACCATGCTGGTTAGTCCTGGTCCCTTTGAATCATTTTCCCCATATCCTCCCCTCAACAATGGTGGCTAGCAGCACAGTTTATGTATTTAACTTTGTCACAAAAAAAAAAAAAAAAAAAAAGGGTGGCTTACAGACTACCAGTGAGAGCACTTACTATCATGGCAGTTAAGAGACCACCAGTGAGACTATTACAGTTATGGTGGCTTTGAGACCAATGTGAAAATACAGTATTTACAAGTGCCAAACGCATCAAAATAATAAATCCGATCTATTATTATCAATTGATAAACTAATGTCAATATTTTAACAATGAATGAGCCAAGTTTATTATATCCGTATGTTGAGTGCCAATGTGCCATATATATCTAAAAATTGAAGCTGTGATATCAACATTTTAATTATTATTATTATAATCAAAAAGAAGCATTAAGCCACAAGGACTTCAACATCTTAATGGTTTGTGATTCATGTCAATATTTCAATGGTTTGCATATCAATTTCATTAAAAAATGTATCTAGAAGGGACAAGAATCCTCACAAGTCTCAAAGCACCACCACCACCACTACTCCAGCACCAACCAAAGCAAAATAGATGGGATTTTCCTTTACAATTTACTCAATTCAACGAAATACAACACGTGTTTGTTTTATGCATTTATGATGGATTTATATTATTTTGGTAAAATTTGGTTAAGAAACATGGAGTTTTTTTTTTTTTTGTAATTTTGGCTAATTTTAGTTGCTTTTCTATTGTTACTTTATCAAATACATTTATTTTTGTTTTATAATTATTTGGCATAGATGTGGTAAGTTCCTATTTCATTGTCATAATTCGGTTAAGAATTGAGGAATTAAAAAATTAATTGGGAAATACAGTATAGTACTTTTACAAATAATCGACCCAAAATCTCCGATACACTCGAGTCTCTCTAATCTGAGTATCCTTTACTCAGGCACCAACTGCATTTTGTTTTTCCTATTATAGGAAGTATATCTTTTGAACAATAAAACCAACCATACTACTCAACAGTCCAAAATGAACTTATTAGGCAACAGTTTTTTCTTTTCAAAGATTACACAATAAAGTAACCAATATATTTTTTAACACACTGGCCGTTTCCCACCGAGGCAGGGTGACCCAAAAAAGAAGAAACACTTTCATCATCACTCACTCCATCACTGTCTTGCCTGAGGCATGTTAATGAATTTGTATCAATGCAATTTTTTTGTAGGAATTGCCCTTCTTTAGCTGGGTGACCTCAAGAGAAACTAGTGACTCAAGAGTTTTTAAGCAGAATGAGATAATTCAAGTACAATACCTCACAACAGCTTTACTGTATATCACGTAAGAGACATAGGAAAATAAACCTCTATTTAAACATAGTTACAAAACTTGTGAATTTAGTAATGTTATGTACAGTAATAATGCAGTTATCAACCATTTTATCACCTGTACACTAAACAAATATTCATACTCGACAGTCAAGAACACATGATGAAAAATACTACACATAACGTTCTAGCATGGCTTGACAGCTTTTAAGGTGAGCAGATATGACACCTGCTGAAGGATCTGCAGAAGCACTCAAGTCGGTGAGGTACTCTGCTATGTAGTCAAGACACAGTTCACGTTGAGCCCGCCTGTTGGAATTGTAATGTTAATTAATACAACTGCACATAATCTATATTAAAATTCTTCTTCTTTCAACAAACCAGCCGTATCCCAACGAGGCGGGGTGGCCCAAAAGGAAAAATGAAAGTTTCTCCTTTTAAATTTAGTAATATATACAGGAGAAGGGGTTACAAGCCCATTGCTCCCAGCATTTTAATCGCCTCTTACAACACGCATGGCTTACGGAGGAAGAATTCTGTTCCACTTCCCCATGGAGATAAGAGGAAATAAGCAAGAACAAGAACTAGTAAGAAAAATAGAAGAAAACCCAGAGGGGTGTGTATATATATCGTTGTACATGTATGTCTAGGTAGTAGGTTGGTAGACAGCAACAACCCAGGGAGGTACTACCGTCCTGCCAAGTGATTGTGAAACGAAAGCCTGTAATTGTTTTACATGATGGTAGGATTGCTGGTGTCCATTTTTCTGTCTCAAACATGCAAGGTTTCAGGTACATCTTGCTACTTCTACTTACACTTAGGTCACACTACACATACATGTACAAGCATATATATACACACATCGCTCTGGGTTTTCTTCTATTTTCTTATTAGTTCTTTTTTTTTTCAACAAGTCGGCTGTCTCCCACCGAGGCAGGGTGACCCAAAAAAGAAAAAATCCCCAGAAAGAAAATACTTTCATCATCATTCAACACTTTCACCACACGCACACATTATCACCGTTTTTGCAGAGGTGCTCAGAATACAACAGTTTAGAAGCATATACGTATAAAGATACACAACATATCCCTCCAAACTGCCAATATCCCAACTCCCCCTCCTTTAAAGTGCAGGCATTGTACTTCCCATTTCTAGGACTCAAGCCCGACTATATGAAAATAACCGGTTTCCCTGAATCCCTTCACTAAATATTACCTTGCTCACACTCCAACAGATTGTCAGGTCCCAAGTACCATTCGTCTCCATTCACTCCTATCTAACACGCTCACGCACACTTGCTGGAAGTCCAAGCCCCTCGCCCACAAAACCTCCTTTACCCCCTCTCTCCAACCCTTTCGAGGGCGACCCCTACCCCGCCTTCCTTCCCCTATAGATTTATATGCTTTCCATGTCATTCTACTTTGATCCATTCTCTCTAAATGACCAAACCACCTCAACAACCCCTCTTCTGCCCTCTGACTAATACTTTTAACTCCACACCTTTTCCTAATTTCCACACTCTGAATTTTCTGCATAATATTTACACCACACATTGCCCTTAGACAGGACATCTCCACTGCCTCCAACCGTCTCCTCGCTGCTGCATTTACCACCCAAGCTTCACACCCATAAAAGAGTGTTGGTACTACTATACTTTCATACATTCCCTTCTTTGCCTACATAGATAACGTTTTTTGACTCCACATATACCTCAATGCACCACTCACCTTTTTTCCCTCATCAATTCTATGATTAACCTCATCTTTCATAAATCCATCCGCCGACACGTCAACTCCCAAGTATCTGAAAACATTCACTTCTTTCATACTCCTCCTCCCCAATTTGATATCCAATTTTTCTTTATCTAAAACATTTGATACCCTCATCACCTTACTCTTTTCTATGTTCGCTTTCAACTTTCTACCTTTACACACATTCCCAAACTCATCCACTAACCTTTGCAATTTTTCTTTAGAATCTCCCATAAGCACAGTATCATCAGCAAAAAGTAACTGTGTCAATTCTCATTCTGAATTTGATTCCCCATAATTTAATCCCACCCCTCTCACAAACACCCTAGCATTTACTTCTTTTACAACCCCATCTATAAATATATTAAACAACCATGGTGACATTACACATCCCTGTCTAAGACCTACTTTTACCGGGAAGTATTCTCCCTCTCTTCTACACACCCTAACCTGAGCCTCACTATCCTCATAAAAACTCTTTACAGCATTTAGTAACTTACCACCTATTCCATATACTTGCAACATCTGCCACATTGCTCCTCTATCCACTCTATCATATGCCTTTTATAAATCCATAAATGCAATAAAAACTTCCCTACCTTTATCTAAATACTGTTCACATATATGCTTCAATGTAAACACTTGATCTACACATCCCCTACCCACTCTGAAACCACCTTGCTCATCCGCAATCCTACATTCTGTCTTACCTCTAATTCTTTCAATAATAACCCTACCGTACACTTTTCCTGGTATACTCAGTGAACTTATTCCTCTATAATTTTTACAATCTCTACTTACACTTAGGTCACACTACACATATATGTACATGTTTATTTATACACACTCATCTGAGTTTTCTTTGATTTTATCTTAATAGTTCTTGGTCTTATTACTTTTCCTTTTATATCCATGGGGAAGTGGAATAAGAATCTTTCCTCCGTAAGCCATGTGAGTTGTAAAAGTCAACTAAAATGCCAGGAACAATGGGCTATTAACCCCTTTTCCTGTATAGATTACTAAAAAGAATAAGAAGAAAATACTAGTTCTTGTTCTTGTTTATTTCCTCTTACCTCCATGGGGAAGTGGAACAGAAGTCTTCCTCCGTAAGCCATGCGTGTTGTAAGAGGCGACTAAAATGCCGGGAGCAAGGGGCTAGTAACCCCTTCTCCTGTATATTACTAAATGTAAAAGGAGAAACTTTCGTTTTTCCTTTTGGGCCACCCTGCCTCGGTGGGATACGGCCAGTGTGTTGAAAGAAAGAAGAAGACATGTATGTGAAGTGTTACCTAAGTGTAAGTAGAAGTAGCAAGACGTACCTGAAACCTTGCATGTTTCTTTCTTTCTTTCAACACACCGGCCGTATCCCACCGAGGTGGGGTGGCCCAAAAGGAGAAACAAAAGTTTCTCCTTGTACATTTAGTAATATATACAGGAAAAGGGGTTACTAGCCCCTTGCTCCTGGCATTTTAGTCGCCTCTTACAACTTGCATGGCTTACGGAGGAAGAATTCTGTTCCGCTTCCCCATAGAGATAAGAGGAAATAAACAAGAACTAGAAAGAAAATAGCAGAAAACCCAGAGGGGTGTGTATATATATATATATTTTTTTTTTTTTCAACAAGTCGGCCGTCTCCCACCGAGGCATATATATATATATGCTTGTACACGTATGTGTAGTGTGACCTAAGTGTAAGTAGAAGTAGCAAGACGTACCTGTAATCTTGCATGTTTATGAGACAGAAAAATGGACATCAGCAATCCTACCATCATGTAAAACAATTACAGGTTTCCGTTTTACACTCACTTGGCAGGGCAGTAGTACCTCCCTGGGCGGGTGCTGTCTACCAACCTACTACCTAGGTTATATTAAAATGATGTTACTAAAAGATCTGTGGTTGAATGCAAGGACTTCAGAAAAAAAAGGAATTAAATTGAAAACATGCTTAGAGAGGTGCTGAATAATAACCAAAGCAAAGGCACATACACCTCAGAATAAGTCTGGGCAGCAGGGGACTTGCCAACCAAATCTGCCTTAGAATATAAGGTATGATGAGGTGCATAACAAAAGTAGTCTACTGGACTGGAGTAGATACTAGCAGAAAACATAATGACACTCAAGCATTTTTTATGCCATTGTTTTTATAGGAGTATCTTATAATTTTCTCTATTACTGTACTCTGTAAAACCAACAGGAGGAGACAAGAGTGATGCAAGATAGGTGAAGGGAACAATTTTGTAAAAAATAATGATCAAAGGTGTGAATTCACAAACAGCAGACCTTGGAACTTCTGCCTTCAGATGACAGACATAACATTATTAACTGAATCTGGATTATAAGTGCAATCAAAGAATAAATATTTGAATATCATGTTATCAAAATAAAAAAATTATAAATCAAATAAAGCTAAACTTGATAAGTATAGTCTTACTTGTGGTGAGGAGGTACAGAGGAAGTGTTATCTATCATCATAGTAATGAGGTGAGCCAGGACAGCCAGCAAGTGATGAGGTGAACGTTCTACTTCCCAGACACTGTCACCGCTACGATACAACCTGCAACGCAAGTCAAATTATTAAATCATGTAATGGAAAATCTCTAGGTTCATACTCAAAATAAAGCACATTTGATACTGTACTATACACGAGACTGGGGCAAAATCTTAAGCAGGAATGTACTCGAGTGGATCAAGTACATGTACTTTAGAGGAAGGAAGCAGAGCAATTCTCTCGAAAGTGATGTCAGAATGGGAATGAGTAGCAAACCGTGTATTACAAAGATCAGAATTAGAACCAGTACTGTTTCTGGTTTATGTGCATGGCATACCAGATGGATGTATCTCTATTTGCTGATGATTTAAAACCAATGATGAGAATACAAACAGATGAGGACAGGAAAAGGCTGCAACAGGATGTGGAAAAACTGCAGGGTTGGTCAGGTAAGTGGTTGCTTAATTCAATACCAGCAAATGCAAAGTTATAAAAAATGGGGAAGGGGACAGAAGACCAGACACAGGAGTACAGACTCTGGAGACAGCTGCTACAGACCTCATAGTGCCTATCATATCGCCAGAGGGTCATAATCACCCGAATAACCTCGGCAGCCAATGCTTGCCTGGAAAATCTGAGTGACCTTCAGGACTTGAGTTCTGAATGTGGGAAGTACAGTGCCTGCATTCTGAAGGAGGGTGGGAATATTTAAAGCTTGGAAGGGCATCTGAACTGTAATGTCTGCACACCTCTGGCAAGACACTAATGGAGTGAAGGATGGTGAAAGTGTCTTTTTTGGACCACCCTACTCCAGTGGAAGACAGCCAGTAATTAAAAAACGAAAAAAAAAAAAATTATTCTTTCAGACATAGGCAAACACAGGGCTACTTCAAAGATGCTGTTCTTTGAAGCTGTGAATACTTACTTATGATAAATGCTGATGAGCTTGCTGACAGCAATTCCGCAGCCTTGGAGTGTAGTGACAACCCAAGAGGTGTCGGCTCTAAGCTGAACCGAGCGAATTTCACACTCCTTTATTATGTGTTCTGAAAAAAGGTTCAAAATATTTAAAATAAGCAGCAGGTATATTAATACAATGTCAAGAAATTACTAAGGCAATGCCCTGCAATGACTTCAGGCAAGATAATTGTTTTCATATTGTATTTTACAAGTTATGTAATCTTTTTAATCGAGTAGAATGCTTAACACTTTTGAGAGAGGATAAAAATACAAAATTAATATGGTGTAGTCTTACAAAACCTACAACCATGTGATGAATGACCAACCTAGAGGGAAGTAGTTTGGATTTGCAGAATACAGCCGGGCCAGAGCTTTGATCTTACTGGCCAAACAATCCACCCTTGTCTCCACAGCACCCCCTCGTGACCTCTCTAACTCACTCTCTAACAGTTTGCTCCAAATGGACTGAAAAATCAATGAAAATAAAAATAAAATGGGTAAAATGTATGAGAACTATTATTATAATTAGTAGGAAACACTAACGCCTATTGGGGTTATACAGCACCTGGAGCAACAAGAGGTAATCAGGTTTAATTTAAAGAAGAGAATAGTATGTCCAATTCTTTGGATCAAGGGCCCCTCATTTTCATCAAGGAACCTCCCTCGAGGGGAAGGGGATAACAACTGATAAATTACCAATAGATAAACTCAATGCACTTATTGTTACACAATTCACCAGAAACACCACTACTTATTTTTGAGAAGATTTTCTTCCCTTCTTGCTGATGCAAATATTCTTAACTTAAAACACCTAAAATGTTTATACCTAATGCAAAAAAGTAATTATTGACGATTCCACAAACATTTTGTTTTTAGCTCTTTTACCCTAGTTACTTTCTAAGGAATATACAGTAGCCTGAATGCTTCAGAAGTATTGTTCCAGTCACTGTATTGTGCCTTTTTATTCTTTAGGCTTCAGAAAATCTTAAATGAAAATAATTACACCTACCTGATATGGTACCTACAGAACCAAATATACATTATACAGTACTTAGATAAAACTTCAGAGCACAGTTGTTAGCTAAGCATGTGGTCAATAGAGATACAATGTAAAAAAAAACTTTTCTCAACTAATCTACAATCTGCAGGAAACTAAGACAATATTTCAGTCCATCCATAACTATCACCAAGGACAGGCTGAAATGTTGTCTAAAATTTAATCTAAATATTGTGGGATGGTTAAGAAATTCTTCTCTTAGACCTATTGATTAAATCCACAAACTGATTAGGTTATCAGAAAATAACAAGCACACTATAAGTCACCATCAAATTACTAGTAGATGCTAAAAATTTACGATATTTTAATATATTTCAAGACTACATTCTAAAGGAAAGCATATACCAAATTACACAGAGAACTAAGTTACTGGAAACTACCTGCACTAATTGTGGTTCAGAATGGCCAGCACAATGTACAATGGCTAGCTTACACTCCCAGAGTGACCAAGGCTCAGCAAATTTTTCATAGAGGACAGTGAGAGTGAGGAGGGAAGAGTTGAGCTGGGCAATAACATCTCCACTTGCCCCTTCACACTGTAATGCATCAAGTACCTGTGATAGAGTAAAAATATTAACAATAAAAATGAATGTAACATCAATCTATTTAAGTGTTATAATGAGGGATCTATTTCATTAAGCACAGGCAAGAGATCTTTAAGTATCCAGCCTACCTCTTTGTATGGTGACTAACTCCTCAACTAACATACATTTCAAATTGCCAGAATTATAAAATAAAAAAAACAGGACTTTACATAATAAGTTCTTTATATTAATACATTTTTCTGGTCTGATGAAAATGCAACAATGAGAACAAGAGTGGTCTTTGTACAAAAGAATTATTGACTTGATAATAAACTTAGTAACTATTTTTAACCTTATAATTGTGATCATAACAGCACTTGTGACCTCCGTGGATAGGGAAGACACACCAATATTTCTGGCCTCCAGCAAGTAAATATTTTCTACTTTTGCCATTTTTTCTATGCATATTAACTCGTGCCTATCCTGAATTTCCATACACATCATATCCTGAATTTCCATACACATCATATCCTGAATTTCTATACACATCATATCCCGAATTTCCATAAACATCACTAGAACCCTTTATTATTATTCAGTGCATATACACAACAGCATTCTTGAATGAGAACTATGCCTCTGTACACTTTTCCTACTTAAAATAGAGGAGAAAAAAAAAAAATACCCTTTAGTGGGGGATAAAATCAGTTGGACTCAGAGCTCATTTTTTTTCCTTCCCTATATTGTGGTACTGTGAAGCTGGGTGTGGTGTCCAATAGATCAGTCGGTAGTAAGGTTGCCACCACCCTTTCTATTATATTTAAATTATAGGTATGACTAACTTAGGTATGATTATACACAAGTGAAGAGTAGTCTCAAATGTAAGCAGCAGCAGCTTACCATCAGTTGTACTCTTGCCACCTCTTTCTTTTCTTCTAAATGCAGCATGAAGTCTGAATAGTTTGAGGCTGTATTCATCTCGCAGGAGCTGAGACACATGAGGGCACGGGAGAGGTACTCCACACGCACACTAACTGGAGTCTCTCTGAGGAAGGATTTGATTATTTTAGATAGAACTAAATGGTCTCTTCATATGAATCAATCATTTTACAGTGGATTAATTTTGTCATCCTTCCCTGTAAGTTCTCAAATTTACTGTAAGACTCATTTGCAATACTTGGGCATTTTTATTGCTGAAACATTTTGCTTGCACAACAGAGTTCTTCAGCTGGATACAGGTGAATGCAACACTGGAAGCAGCTGTAGTAGTAATGACTCATCAGTCCATTACCAAGGGTGATGGACTCATCAAGTCCAGTGGATGGTTGTCATTTTGCAAAAATGCAGCACATTAATAACATTGTGCACTCATAATAAGAAGATAAACAATCAATAGGATAGATCAAATCAAAATGTTTGCTAAAGATCACTGTACATAGGGTAAACCCTGCTAAGGAAAACACTTGATAGAATTCAATGTGGCTGAAGCAGATGTCACAATGACATTCAACTGTGAGGGTGCAACTAAGTGTTGGAAAAGAAACACAAACCTCATTCAGCATACAATGGAAATATGGAACACTGACTAGTGTGACTGAAATACTGCATACCAGACTAAACTATAAAAATTTAAGTCTTCAAAAAAATTACAGTAGTGTGAAAAATTGCAAGTCACTTCTTTTCCACAGTATCATAATCTTTGCTTTATTAAAAAGGTTTGTGCAACCTAGTTCCAGTAGGCCAGCAGATAATTAACCAGTTAACAGGGGTTGTTGAGGTGGTTTGGTCATTTAGAGAGAATGGATCAAAGTAGAATGACATGGAGAGCATTTAAATCTGTAGGAGAAGGAAGGCGGGGTAGGGGTCGTCCTTGAAAAGGTTGGAAGGAAGGGGTAAGGGAGGTTTTGTGGGCGAGGGGCTTGGACTTCCAGCAGGCGTGCATGAGCGTGTTCGATAGGAGTGAATGGAGACAAATGGTATTTGGGACCTGACGATCTGTTGGAGTGTGAGCAGGGTAATATTTAGTGAAGAGATTCAGGGAAACCGGTTATTTTTATATAGCCAGACTTGAGTCCTGGAAATGGGAAGTACAATGCCTGCACTCTAAAGGAGGGGTTTTGGGATATTAGCAGTTTGGAGGGATATGTTGTGTATCTTTATGCATATATGCTTCTAAAGTGTTGTGTTCTGAGCACCTCTGCAAAAACAGTGATTATGTGTGAGTGAGGTGAAAGTGTTCAATGATGATGAAAGTATTTTCTTTTTGGTGATTTTCTTTCTTTTTGGGTCACCCTGCCTCGGTGGGAGACGGCCGACTTGTTGGGGGGGGGGGGGGAGAGGTCATAATATAACCCATCTCCAGCAGTTGCAAGAATAACTCAGGTTAATGGAATATCTTACCCAATTTGTTCTGCCAAGATAAGAAGGGTCTTGGCAGCCTTAAAATAATCTCTATTGCGCTCATAGTATCGCCAGAGCAAGTGATTTAGGGGTGCCTGGCCATTGGTGCGTGTGAGGAATGTCTCTAGATAAGGTGAAGACAGAGCCAGTAGACGATCTGTGCGATTTGTATCCACCAGCCACTGGTATAATGTCACATGAGCCAATTCATCATTACTTGCTACAATCAGATTCATCATCTGAAATAATATTGAAAAAAAAAAAAAAGAGGGTCATATGTGAGAGGAGATGAATAATACATTAATACAGTAAAGTCTATTCATAATAAAGTAAGTTTTATGGAGACCTCTTCCCCCCCATCTTCCCTCGACTTACCCAGCAACACAGTGGCAAGACTTAGGAGGACCATGAGCTTGAATGCCACTGGATGCTTGTCAAGTTGTCAATCCTAGGGTTCTTAAAAACTCACGACTGGCTTATAACTGTGACCTTAACAAACCATCCCAATAACTAGTTGGAGAAGCCTTACGACTCTATAGCCCAGTGGCTAGTGCAATGGGCTGGCAATTTCATGACTGCTGGTTTGAATGCTGATCACTCCATTCATTGTGACTTTTCAGCACATATATACATCATCTTCTTTCAACAAACTGGCCGAATCCCACCGAAGCAGGGTGGCCCAAAAAGAAAAAAATTTCTCTTTTCAACTTTAGTAATGTATACAGGATAAGGAATTACTAGCCCCTTGCTCCCAGCATTTTAGTTGCCTCTTATGACACGCATGGCTTACGGAGGAAGAATTCTGTTCCACTTTCCCCATAGACACATATATACATATTGTATGCAATAAGATCATGTGAAGCAGGCGATATCTTGATACGCAATATAGCCATAGTAAATAGTAGTAGTATTCTAAGCACTGGTCACATTGCATATACATATATTGTACATTAGGTAAGAGATATACCCACCTGGTTAGCATAGTGTGTAGCATCTGTGGAGGGTAGTGTAGGTGGTGGTGGTGTGGGTGGCCCTGGCCGGGATGGCACACTGGGGGATGCTGGGGGAGGAACGCCTGCTCCAACTAACTGGTTCAGCTGATCCATTATCACTCTATAACACTCCATTCTGTAAAAAATAACAATGAGAGATAAACTTTAATTCATTAAAGGTTAACAGGACAAATTTCCCATTTGTATTGTGCCGCTTTACGTAATACAGTAAACATTCTTAAAGACTCTACATATGTTATTTTGAGTAAACAATTAAAAAATTACATAAAAAATTGCACAACATGCAACAACAACAACAACAACAACAAAAAACTGACAGTACATACTGTAAAACAACAAGTATTAAGATATGTGCAAAATTTGTGTACTGCACTCGTACTTTTTCCCTATGACCCCAAGTTAAGCTTAAGGTTCACACATACAGTAGGGCCCCGCTTATGGCGTTCCACTAATATGGCGATTTCAAATTATGACCAAAACTTGCTATACGGCTCCCTGTCTTTCTAATACGGCGCGCCCCACCCAGTTTGTTTACATTCTCCATGAGCACATCTCAATTATGTCTGGAAACTTTCCAAGCTTTCAAGTGTTTTAAAGTTATTGCATATTTTGTATGTACTCTGATAATTATATTGTACCTGTACCTAAATATATTTACACACTGTGCTGGCGTGCAGGTACACATTAAAATCACTAAGAGTCTCTCTACTCTTGATGCCACATTAATAATAATAATCTCTTGGGTATATTGAATGTTGCACATTACATTAATATAGACATTTCCATTAATCCATCTATGATATTTTTTTTCAAAATTATATAATAAACACATTATGTAACATATAAACATGATAAATCCACCCCACAGTAGAATAAATTAACAAATATGAGATGTGGTACTAGGTAGTAGGTTGGTAGACAGCAACCGCCCAGGGAGGTACTACCGTCCTGCCAAGTGAGCGTAAAATGAAAGCCTGTAATCGTTTTACATGATGGCAGGATTGCTGGTGTCCTTTTTTCTGTCTCATAAACATGTAAGATTTTAGGTACGTCTTGCTACTTCTACTTACACTTAGGTCACACTACACATACATGTACAAGCATATATATACACACACCCCTTTGAGTTTTCTTCTATTTTCTTTCTAGTTCTTGTTCTTGTTTATTTCCTCTTACCTCCATGGGGAAGTGGAACAGAATTCTTCCTCCGTAAGCCATGCGTGTTGTAAGAGGCGACTAAAATGCCAGGAGCAAGGGGCTAGTAACCCCTTCTCCTGTATATATTACTAAATGTAAAAGGAGAAACTTTCGTTTTTCCTTTTGGGCCACCCCACCTCGGTGGGATACGGCCGGTGTGTTGAAAGAAAGACATAATCTAACAAACTACTTTCATTACGTGCTACATCATACCTTGTATATTTATTTATCCTCTTTTTCATAAAATATGTATTACTTATTACCAAGTCTCTTTCTACACATAGCTCAATTAAAGGCTCCCCATTTACATTTACCCTTGGCACCCCAAATTTACCTACTACTCTCTCCACAACATTTTTACCCACTTTAGCATTATTATACATATTACTGTAATTTTTATTTGTAATTTTTATTCACACAAAAAATATAAGATTTGCTGTTATTCCTTATTGCAATAATTGTATAAATAATGTCAACCCATTCACGACTGCATATTGGAATGGACAGTGACGTCATTTGTTTACTCAAACAGCCAAGCAATCGACCATTTCTCCTAGGTTGAGCTCTATTTCAAGGTACTTTCCTTCGTGAAAGCAATAAAAATCGTATCTATTTCTGTAATATATCTTCCATTCTATCAAATAAGACCAAAAAAACGAGAATACAACCATAAAAACCATTTGAAATTAACTCTAAGGGGTAGCTAATTGCTGAGAAGTGAACTCCATTACTTATGCTTAGATTTCTTTCATTTTTGGTGTGCGTTAAGAAGCATCTTTCCATCATACATTGCCCAAATTTCAATAAGATAGTCCAACAAACAAATGCAATACAATTCCCAAGATCAAGAGCAAGAGCCCCTCACCAGTGTCAAGGAACCTGCCTTGAGGTCTGCTCGCTTGTGGAAATGTTGCTCGCGTATGGAAGCAAAAAATCGACCCATCGACTGCTCGTATTTGGAAAAACTCGCACATGGACACGCTCGCAAGTAGAGGTTCCACTGTATATCTATTTCTACACCAAAAAGTAAAATGATTTTGCAATATTTCAGGATTGCAAAAGTTATGCTAACTGAAAAGTAAAATCAATATCAATATTAACAAAATTTTGTGCACCTCATAATTTTCCGTCACTCTCAGTAGCTATCTTCCTTATCACAGCACCAGCACTGAGGTATAAAATTAAACATGACATTATTAAATAATTACAGTGTAATGCATGTTAAAAACTAGTGTAATGTATGTAAACATAACTAAGAAATGTTGTTAATGGCTAAGTCATGGTTAGCAAATAAGGGTTACATGGAACAACTGCAGCACCATTATGCAGTTATCAGACTATATTTGAAAGACAACTATAGAAGATAAAGTTTTTTGTATTAAGAGATTACTGGTAGTAGACTATAGTACTTTTTCAGTTAGATGGGATTATTTATCCAATGGATTTTTGGTTAGTCTAACTTTAAAAACTAAGCAGATAACAATTAAACTAATAATTAAGACATCACATAACTGACCTTGATGTGAAGGCAATATATCCCTGATGATCATCAGCAGGCTCATTATTTTTATAATAGTGCAGGGCTAAGCCAGTTGGATCTCTCTGTGAAGCCACACTCAGACACAGGTCCACTACACCTTCATAAGCACCACCACTGGCCAACTGGCTACTGATGCCATTAACATTCACATGATGACCAATTTGCTTACACAACTGTTAAATAATTATAGTATTTTCAATGTGGGTTAATTACAAAACCTAATCTGCATTGCCTAAATCAGTGTGCAACTCTTGCACATTGCAAGTTTTGAGATATACAAGATGTTGTTTCCCTTACATTACTTGAAAGACAATGGAAAGTTAAGTCTTGAGCCAATCTCCTTCTCTTTAACCACAGGGGATGTAGAATG